GGGGTGGCCTATATGAGCACTCCCACTTTGGAAACCCCATGAGGAACTCCAGGACTATGGGATTGGGACCAGGTCTGTACGAGGGGGCAGACCCTAGAATGCACAAAGGACCACCTAAGCCAAAAGGCAGAATAACTGAGAAGTTATATTCTCAGCCAGTGCATCCTATATATGATACAGTATGGGAACTGTAGTAATCATGCCATGATTACACCCTACAGTATTTGGCAACCAATGCAGCCAACACCGCTGTCCAGGACCATGCCACAACAATTGTCAAGAAGCTTCAAGAATGGAATGGCCTCCATAACAGTCTCCGTAAAGTCAATAAGCGACTGCTCGGAGGCGAGGAGAGGCACATTGAAATGGCCAGTGAAATTGCCGATGAAATCAGGGGATTGTGTGGTGAACTAGGTGAACTAGATGCCAGCGATTGTTTTTTCCTCAACTTGGAGAATCCATCTTTCAATGGGACCCTCCATTGTGAAGCGTGTCTTGCTAGCCTCCTCCCCGCCTTTACCAGCTGCATCCCTCCTGATGACAACAACTACAAGGAGATGAAGATATTGTCCGACTTGCAGGTAGCATATTTATCCCCTTTCTCACCTGTTTCTGTCCTTTGACCCTCATTTTGTTCCTTCTCATATGCAGGACTATGGGCAAGTGATTGGAGTATCCAAATGCTGCTGCCTTGCTTGTGCTACTTTCATGAGGACCTTAATGAAAGGAAGCAAAGATGATTTCATGGTACGAGGCAACTTCGGCACAGTCAGTGCATGCTCTCTGCTGCCATGGTGTGACATATGTTCAGTGTCTGCACAAGTCTCTGGGGTAATTTCCTTCTTACGATGTTATACTTTGTGTTTTGTTTATTTCGCTTACTTCATGACTGTCACGATTCAACTCGCATTAGTCACACTAGCACACGTGTAGTAGTGACATCTTTTTCTATTCATCGTACCACCACTACGTTCGCTCATTGAGCGGCCGCATCGTATCGCGTCCTCCTTTAGAGTCAAAGTAAGTGATCCGAGTTTGTGAGATCATTGAATATTCTCCTAGAGGTATTCAAATATTCAACTACCTTCCTTCTCGAACTCTACTTCCTTAAGGACTTCCTGAGGAGGAGCAGAGGTCGCGCAACGGATATCCGAAGCACCAGCGACCTCCGCTAAGAGTTCGTGAATCAAGAAGACCAAGCCGTACGAAGTACAATTGGTCTCCACACCTACGTAACAGGATAAACATCCACGTTCGCCAGACACCACGTCGTCGCTTCAACCACCCACTCCTACTGTGCCTCACAGGACACCTATTACAAAGGTGGACACTGTGGGATACTACGACGCCCTGGCTGACTACGTTACCAAGAGAAAATCGAGGTCTGACGAGGCTCCAACCACTCATTCCACTGCCACGTCAGACTCTACCGCCCATATTGCTACCCCCACCACAACGCTTACATCGCGACAAGGCGCTAACCAGCCGTCGTTCTCATTTCCTAAATCTTCGAGGGTTACCAAGTCTACCAGTAATTCACAATCTTCATCACGATCGGTTTCGCCGGCTAAACTCAGCTCGACGTCAAACTATCGACCTAAAACTGCGAACACGAACATTCCCTCTAAACCTACAACTTCTTCTTCCGCTACATCGGTTACTAAACCGTCAACCGCGAAACCCTCGTCTCCGTTAACTGCATTCCAATTCACGGCGCAGACGTCGAGACCAGCGACATCTAACATAACCGTGTCAGCTACTGGAGTCGTTGACGATCAAAGCTCACCTAGTTCAACAACGTCAACCCTAAAGAAATCATCAACAGAAGATCCTATCCGACGTCCGACGACGGTTACCCCTGCAGAACCAGTTGCTAATTCACCTGGTTTCAATACTATAGTTGAGGGAGAAGAGATGGAAACGCCTATTATAACTAGAGGTGGAGCTTCGTCGTATGAGAATTCACCTATGGCGAAGCTCATAGCTCAATACTCGGGAGAAGACGATAGTGACGAGCTTGCGACTGCTTCTTGGATCAATATATTGGTTACCAAGGATGAATTGGAGCCTGAATTGGTTGAGAAAGTAGAAGACCCACATAAAGGAATCACGAAGTACAAACTTACAGATGATTTTTTAAACGGATTGGCTAAGATATCGACGGAGCTACAAATCTTTGTAGAGAAAGCTGCCGGTTTGATAGAAGAACGGTCCCGACATTTCGTCGTTGATCCTGAGGATACCCTAATGTACATCTTAAGGGGAACCACTAGTCTTCCACAGCTGAACGTCGCTTGGCAGACCGTTCAAAAGCGATTAGAACTAGGACATCGTACACTCAACAAGTACATGCAACAGTATAAAAATGATCCGCTTACGGACATGCCGCTTTCGCCCGTCTCGACATTGCCCGAATTACATTCGGATTTGAGCGATCTTCAAACGGCGGATCAGCGATTGCGATATTTGTATCAGAAGTTTCCGAATCATCGCGACCAATTGTCCGGTCAATCAGAAACCGCTCTGAATCAAGGAAAATCTTGGATGAATATCATACCTCTACCTGCGACGTGGAAGAAAGCTTTCATACCTGACAAGGAGTTACTTCCCGGAGTTTCAGATCGTCGCGCCTCCAAGGGTAAACAGAGAGAAACGAGAGAGAGCGCAGATGAAGACGATAGAGACGCAGCTCCTCGTATCTGGTTAGGAGCGGAGACTCCGTTCAGAGGCCCTAATAAATGGTTCGATGGAGGAAGATTGAAAGCTAGAGAATCCACAACGAATCAGCTAACTTCGAGAGTGAATAAAACGAACCAGAATGTATTATTCGGTATTGCGACCCCACAAATCCCTATATGGGCGGCAGACTCCTCAGTCGATCCTCAACCACCCAAAATTGATCGCTCCTTACGCTTGAAAGAATGGCCAGAACGTGAACCGCCTCCTCATTTGGCTTCTACAACTAGAAGAGAGAGTTCAGCACCC